ATCAGTCATATTTTTCTAGATGTTTGACTATTCCAGCCTCAGTTTACTTCAAGGAAGCTTAAGGCAAGCATGGGTTTCTGCCCATGGGGCCATGGCAATGTTCCAAGTCAGCCCAGAGCTAAGTTAGGTTGAAAAGATGCTGTGGGGTCACGGATGCTGGCCCCCAGTCCTCTCTCATCAAGCCCACGCTCCCACCAAAATCATTTGTCTTCCTGGTCAGAGAATCCCTGTTGTCCTGCTTGAGGGAGGGTCTGAGCATCACCGTCCCACCAGCCAACAGTTATGTGACTTGGGTGAGCCTCACTTCCTCATGGGTCCCTCTCGGGATTGGGGAAGATGAACAAGGAAGTGCCCAGCAGGCCCCTGATCGCAGCAGGGCTCCCCACCCTGACCCCCCCACCCCCATCCAGCTCTTACAGCTGCTCTGACCCCTGGACATGCATTCCCCAGGCACTTTCCAACCTGGAGGACTTCATGTTTAGGTTAAAATCAGGCGATGTGAATTTTGGCAACAGGGCTCCCTTTCAGTGAAAAGTAGCAGAAGTTCCCAATGCAGCAACTCTGGGGCAGCATATAATTAAGGAATCTAGTACCAGCAGAAATCCTAGAGCTTTCTCTTGTTTTGCAGACCTCACGCCGTCGACCACCCTTTGGCATAGGGGTTTCGATGTCGGGAGAACTGGGCACTGAGGTCAAGACAGGATTGAGGTCAGACGCAAGCTCTAGAACCTACAACTGCACAGGACAAAAGTCTTTGACACCTGGGTTCCAGCTCTGCCTTTGCTGTGTGGTCCTGGGCAAGGACCCCTCTGAGCCTCGAGTTCCTCATCTCTAGAACAGGAGCAGCAATGTTACCTACCACGTGGGTCTACTGTGGCATGAAATAATGAATGCAAAGACGAACGCAGTGCCTGGCACGGAGCTGGTAGCCATCAGCGGTCACTAGCGTGGTCCTTAGCTTGTGGGTGGTGGCCTTGGGCAGGTGTCCTAAATTTCCTGCGATTCAGGTAACTACTCTGGGGAATCAAGACTGTAAGGGCCAGGTGTCAGCTGGGTGGTGTCCTGCCGAGGCTCCAGGGAGGAATCCACCCTCGTCCTTCCCAGCCGGTGGGACGCCCATGTTCCTGGGCCAGTGGACTGCCCCCTCCCCGATCTTCAGAGCCAGCAATGGCTGGCGGGACCTTCCTGCCACATCTGACCCTCCATCCCTGGTCTCCACTCCCCCTGAGTTCTTTGCTGACAAGGACTCATGGGACAGATGGGTCCCACCTGATGACCTGGGGTAACCTCTCATCTCAGGGTCACGTGTGCACGGCCCAGAGCTGATGCTTAGTCAGCACTGCCTGCAGCTGGATTTGGTGGAGCTGAGGCCATGGTGTCCCTGACCATCCTCAGAGCCCCTGCCATGTGCCTGGCACATTCACTGTCTGAGTTTGAATCCAGACTCCACCACTCCTTGGTCCTGTGAATTTGGGCCCCAGGTCAAATCCCTTCAGCTCTCTGAGCCCCAGTTCTGCATCTATAAAGTGGGTATAACAACGGGACTCCCGTCTCCCCTGCAAAAGAGATGACATGAAGCACAGACGAGTACATGGATCTGACACAGTAACACATGTACGTACAGCCCGGGGACAGTCCCACATGGCTCAGTGTTGCAGTTTCATGATTGTGTCAGTTGTCCCAACAACGACTGAGGAGTGGCATTGCCCCCCAGATACACATGTGGTTCAGAGACAGCAGCCCAGTCCCGGGATGCACAGCCAGGGAGCTTTCTCCCCCCCAACACTCTGTCCAGGGTCATGAAGAACTTAGCCAATGAGTGCCCCACCGGCAGGACCCACCCAAACAGCATCTGCCTTCCTCCTGCTGCATCAGAAGCATAAAGTGCCATCTGCAAAGGGGATGGGGGAGGCCTGGGGCTCCCAGGAAGGGTGCTGAGAAACTGTGGGGGGTGGGGCACAAAGCCCCACACATTCTTTGGCTCATCTCAGCCACTGTAGCAGGCCAGGCTGGGCCCCTCTGGATTCTAGAATCAATCAGATGCCCTATGATGTCTCTCCTCCCATGGTCCCGTTCCCTGGGACCCGAGGCACTTGTTGGGTGGTGCTGCTGGGGAGGAAGGGATGCCCTAGGACTTCCGTAGGCCAAGCTTGAAACCCGCTCCAGCACATGCTAGCTGTATGACCTCGAGCTAATTCCTTAACCTCCCTAGACCCGCATGTCCTCATCTGTACCATACCCTCACGCTGATGTGGGGGTGAAAAAGATCAAAACAGAGTGAGAATACTGGAAATCACGCTGGGCTATGTGCACCTGCTGCAAAACAAAACCAAAAAAGGGGCAAAGCAAATGATCACTCACTGAGAACTTATGTACCAGACCCGACACTGTCCGATTCATGCAGTTAGCTCCATTTCTCCAGAGATGAAATCAGAGCTCAGAAAGGTTAAAAACTGCTTTAAGAGCTAGAGGTCGCAGAGCCTGGAGATGAACCAGTACCCACCGCCCTGGGCTTGGCCTCATTTGCAAAAAACGGCATTCTGAGTCTCGTGTTCAATGGAACATTTGTTATTTTATTTGAAAAAGCTGGTATTAACATATTTATAATTTTATTCAACAGTTGGATAATCTGAGATACCGAAGAAAACCAGAATGCACCCATGAGCTATAGAATCCAAAGTGATTAGGTCTGTCTACCTACCACCACGTACCCAATGCCACCAAGAGCTCAGTCCTTGGAGTATTAGAATAAAAACAGAACGACCCAACAACTTCACAATGACTATGTGAACGCTCATACATTCAAGAAGAGCAGAAAATTTAAACAGAGTAAGAAGCAGAGTGACTATCTTACTGGCCCATCTCTGTGACTAGTCTTGCCCCTCCCCCCCAACATGTGTCATTATTCACAACTTGCTTTGGACATCATGATTTTCAGGGATCTGAAGACATGCTTTTCCTCTAAGATCATTTTCTTTCTTTCTTTTCCTTTTTGGTTTGGTATCCAAAGTGTAAAAGAGGAGTAAAGAACCAGGAACTGTATTAAGACCTTCCTTTGAATGCAGTGTTAAGAGGCGTACTCTGTAGATAGTGTGAACTCTATGATCTGACAGTAACCTCCAGCTGCAAAGGCAAAGTCTTCTCTTAGTGTCTGAATCACAAAGGGAAATGGATTGTGCCAAATATCCGTGTAATTGTGTAAGGCCCTCAGAGCTGGATTTTGGCTTCAACGAGATTTCTATACAAGGTACCACATTCTTGAACCTCTTTACAAAGGGAGAAAAAAAGGAATCCAATCCCGTGATTGTTAATTTTAATTAGAATAGATTATGTACATATAATACTGTCCAGGTCACCTGGATTTTACAGTGATAGAGAAACAAACATTCTTCATTCATGTTAATTTGAAAAACAAAAATAAAAAACCAAAACGAAACAATGGACCCATTTCCTTGTGTAAATATCATATGGCTGGAAGTGAATGCACATGCGTTTTGTGCTTTGACACACACGACAGTATACCGCTGTCCACTGAGAAAAATCTCGGGTGGGTCTGTTTCCTGGGTTGGGTTACATCTTGTAAAAAAAAAAAAAAAAAAATGTTGGCTTCGGGCTCCACACTCTGTTCTCTGAATGCCACGCACAGCCAGTGGTTCACTGTAATCGCACGCGGGGAGGACGATCGGGCAGGGTGGGCAGAGCCAGTATCCACATCTGCGCAGCAGGAGCACAGCATTCTCTGTGGCCCTCAGGAAAGAGTCCTCCGAGGCCAGGTCATTAACGAAAATGTATCTTGAAATGGTCCTAACATGCAAGTTCCTCCTGGAGGCAGCTCAGTGCACCCGAACGAGGGGCTGGGGTAGAGAGATGGGTGCAGCAAGGCACCCCCGAGGTGTCGGGGGGGTCTGAAGTCACCACACAGAGCTTGGCACCACCGGGGTCTTCTCCATTCTCCGTGCTGCGGCTCGGGTCGCCCCGCCGGACCCTTGTCATCACCCATGTGCTCTGTCGAGCCCCCCAAGATGAAGGGGTGTTTCCAGAACCTTCCACACAAGAACGCTGCTTTAACGTGAGTAGCCGACACGGTGAGTCAGAAAGCAGGCAGTGCGCATGAAGACCTGCCCAGGATTCCTGACTCTACCACTTGGTCGGTGCGTGCCTTGGACCGACAGTTCATGCTCTCAGGGCCCGCTGCCTCGTGTGCAGAGCGGGAAGGACAATTCTTCACCGTTTGTCCCTGGCACCTGGCAAAGCCCAGCACTCAGTGAGGGGCTGGTGTAAGTGAACGGAGTAAGTGAACAGACACCCACCTTCCAGGGTCACAGAGAGAGCCCTCGTGAGCTCCCACGAGGTGCCCAGTGACCCTGATGCGGGACAGCAGAGCCCTGTGGAGTGGGGACTGAATCCACGCACGCACCTAATGGGCCGAGCACCATGTCTGGCCCCTGGCCCACGCTCAGCAAAGGTTGGGGACATGGTGAGGAGGACAGGCACACGCACAGGGGGGTTTCACTGCCCCCCTCTCCTCTCCGGAAATGCCGGACCTGGGGTATTGAAAGACTTAAAACAACCTAAAAGAGCAGCTTGTACCTGCCAATTCTCAGCATGAATTCATGATTCAAAAAGCCAAGGGAAGACCCTCGGCTCTGAGACAGTGAAAATTGCTCCACTGATAATCAAAAGAATCCCTGGCTGGCTTGTTTGAGTCCGTCCTCTATCCCCAGAGCCCTGATCTGGGGCCCCCTGGGGGGGAGGGGTGTTCCCAGGGCGCCTGCTTCCCCTCAGAGTTGCTGCTGGAAGAAGTGAAGTGTGAGCCTGGAGAAGTCCAAGTCCTAATCGTAGAGCAGGCAGCACACGGTTAAGGACGGGAATGAAGGGCCAGGACCCCAAGGCAACCATCACGCCCATTTCAAGGTCGGTGGCTGTAAACCCTCCTGACTCCAGAGGCAGCCTGGCTGGGCCGCTCGGTGGTCATGTCCCGGACAGGGCTCTACACCCACCTAGTGCATCTCGGAGTTCACCTTGTCCTGGAAGATGTACAGGTTGTTGGTGGCCGCGATGGCGATGATGTTCTCGGCAGGGTGCCAGGCCGTGTGCAGGATCTTCTTGGTGAAGTCCAGGCTGTCCACACTGATGTCATCCCGCCTGCGCTTGCCGCCCACGCACACGCGCCGTGGCTTGAGCACAGCCCGGGGCTTGCTGCTCTCCCTCGATGCCTCCAGGGTCACGTCCCGCTTGGTGTTCCGGTCAAACATGCGGAAGAAGTTGTTGTAGGCCCCGGTCATGATGACACTGGCAGGAGGAGGACGGGCATCAGGCGGGGAGGATATGGAGGGGGGACACGTGCCACGTCTCCAGGGACAGACCCAGGGGCTGCAGGACCCCACCCCCAGGAGGGAGAGATGGGTCCCAGTCCCCACCTCCCACCTTTATTCCTCGCAGGCTCCGCGGACCAGAGTTAAGACCCCTTGACACTCTGCCCAGACACCACGGAGAAAGTTCTCCTGTACTCTCCCTTTTCTCCAGGAGAGAGGCCTGGCCTCCCAGAGGGACGAGGCGCCAGCAGAGGGAAAGCAGAGGGCAAATCAACACAGAAGCCCCGCCCAACTGCCCGGTCCCCACCTGCCACACCCTTCACCATGGTGTCCCAGCACCCTCCTGTTCTGAGTAGCTGAGGGACTAAATGCCCTTTGCACCCTGGGCTGTGTAGGTGTTCACACACCCCCATGTCCCGCTAGAGAATCTGACATTGGTGATCCCCTCCGTTTCTCTTCCCCCACCTCCCCCAAGGAGAGGGGGGTCCTGGGGGTTGGCGGTCAGTCTGCACGGTGGGAGCTGGGACCGCCAGAATGCCAGCTATGGGGCCTGGGCCTAGAGAAGGGGTTTTGGGGTTTGGCCCCCGGAGAGGTCCTGGAGTAGCCAGGCAGGGAGTGGGGGGCAAAGCAACTGAGGAGGGAGGGAGGGGACTCTAGGAAATGAGGTGCCCTAGAATGTTCTTCAGCGGGTGCATACAGTTGGAATTCCTTTCTCCCTTTGGAAGCTGAACATGTTTCTTGGAGGTGTCACTGCTCCGAGACAGAGCTCCGTGGACACCTAGTTAGCAAGGGTTTTGCACATACACCATGTCTTCAGGATCACCAAGTCAGGGGAACAACGCAGGGCAGGGAGATGCTGGAGACAGATGTTCCCCTGGACAGACCAGGAGACGATCTCGTATCAGGCCCCTGGGCTGTGGGAGGTCAGATGCTCATGGAGATCTGGGCAGGGGCGGGGGAGAGCGGATGATGCTGAGTCACAGGCTGAAGGTGATTTGCTTCTTGTAACATGTTCCCTTCCGTGGGCGAATGTGGGGTGGCTAACAGATGCGGGGAGAGTAGACCCGGGCCTCCCTCCCCGCAGCATCTCTACTGGAGCCGGGAACAGAACGCTGTGATCAGGAGTCACACTGTCCCCTCGCCTATGGGTAGTATCTCAGGGTCAGCCCCTTCTAGATGGCGGTGAGGGGAGTGCACAGTGGGGACAACCTCACAGCCACCTGGCTCCTAGACCCGCCTGAGGGGAGTGATCGTCTCGGCAGGGATTAGGGGCTGGACAGACAATCGTCTAGCTCCTTTCTCACTGAGAGGGTGGCCCCTTGGAGTTCCAGTCCTTCCCAGGAAGGATCTCGTGTTTTGGGGTCCTGGTGAATCTGGGCCATCAGTTCCCGGGAGGAAAGCAGAGGCCCTGGGTTCCCACCCACAAGCAGCTTCGGAGCCTCCCCGCCCACCCCAGGCGTGCGGTCCTGATGGCCCGCACCCATGAGGCGAGGCTTTGCACCAGAGTCCACAATCTGCCATGCCAGCATCAGGTGTCTCCTCGCCCTGCCGCCCAAACTGCTTTGTCAGACCTTGTGTTGCGAGACCGGGAGGGTGCGGGTGCTTGGGAGGCAGTGCAGATGGAAAACTTCCTCCCAAAAGCAATTCTTCTGCAACATTCCTGGGTGTCCAGGTAGACCCAGGCAGGGATCCCCTGGATCCCAGCAGAGGGCAGAGGGCACAGGCTGAGTGGGTGATTGGAGAAGAGCTCCATAAAGAGGTTAAGCACAAATGTTCTGGAAGATTCTAAGGGAACCACGGGGGAAAGTGCTGAGCCCTGGGGCTGGAACATTTGGAGATTTTGTTACCAGGCCTGAGGGGTGAGGGGAGAAAAGCTGACAGAGACAGAGACTGAGGGGCAGGCGGGGGGACACCTTGTGGCGTTAACCACTGTGGGCAAGCGCCTGCGGCTGCCCGGGGTGGACATGTCTGGTCTGAGTCCCAGGGCCTGGCCTGGCCTCACTGGAGGAGCGAATGCCGACCCTCAGCCGCAGCCAAACAGAACCGGACCAAGTGGAGCCCCCAGGGCCTGAGGCTTGGGGAGAAGGTAGCAAATGCTCTGTAAGCAGCAGGGAAGGAAGGACCAGAAGCTTCTCTTGTTCACTGCCACACCTCCAAGTTCAGAAGTCCCCCCCACCCCCACCCACAGGTGCTCTAGGGGCATATGCAGATATGAGGGAACGCAGCAGAAGGGTCCCAGGCCTTCACAAAGACACCTGGGGGGAGTCCTAGGAGAGCAGAAGGCTGCCTGGCGCCCCCCACCCCCTGCACCTGACCCTGGGTGGTGGGGGAAGGGGACAGAATGGCTTCTCTGCAGCTGTGCCTGGGGAAGGGGCGCGGCCAGGCCATTCCGTCTTTTGGGGAGATCTGTCACATCTCTGGAGGTGAAGGCAGGATGGGTCTACTCTCTTCTGTTCTGTAACTCTGCCTCTGAAACCTCCGTCTGGAGGGAGGGGGGCAAAGCCATTGCTTGTAGAGACAAAGACGTGGCTTGTGGGGAGGTACAGGGCTACGCTGTGTGGGGAGAGGCCCTCCTGCTCCCACCTTCCCAAAGTAAGCCCCCCTTCTCTCCTCGCACATCAGCTCATCCCAGGAAGGCCGGGTTGGCTCAGATGTCCCCCCAGGTTATGACCCATGAGCCTTCTCTCATGCAGCATGGATCCCCCCCGGTGTAAGAATGTGGAGCGGGCTGGTGACTCCGTCATTGGAACCCAAGCCCACAGGTCACAGGGCTGCCCCCAGGGCTGGCGGGTGCACCAGCAGGCAGCCCCTGGGGATCCGGGCATCTGGCCACTGCACCTGACAGGACCCTGGGCCAGGCCAGGGCATCACCCGGGTGCCCTCCCTCAGACGGTGGCTCACAGCTGAGACCCGGCCATGGGAAGGAGAGTGTGGGCAACAAAGTCAGGGACCCAGAGCTGCTCTCTCAGGGAAAGTCACACCCCAGGGAGCCCACTGGAGACCTAGGGACGCCAGTCGGTCCAGGGGGCTCCCGGCAGCCCAGCCCGTGGAGCGCCCGTGTTTGGGACTTTCGAAGGCCCATGCTGGAGGACAGAGCAGGGGGCCGGGGACAGGTGATGTCAGCGTGGCCACCGAGGCTTGGCAGGGGGCAAGAGGGGCCACTCCACGGCCCAGTGCCAGAGTCGCAAGGCTGCCAGGCAGGGGGGCTGCCAGGGGGTGGCTGGCTAACTGTTGCAACAATGAGGGAACATTCAGGGACACGGTGGCCTGCTCATTATCAGCTCCTCGTGCAGCCTGGGAGATGACGAGCCCACTGGGGAGATTCTGCACATATCTCTTGCTTTCCAGAAAAAGGGGGTATGTTTTCTTGAATGTTCCACCCAGGTGGGAACCCCCCGGCCCCCATGGCCACCCCCAAGGGTGTACGCGACCCAGCTCCTGTCCATTCTTAAATGCACTGACTGTCGTCTGACTCTAGCCCTTCCCCTCTACCTTCACCATCCACATCACCCTTGTTGCTGGCCCAGAGGGACGGCTGTAATAGCCTGCTCACTTGTCCCCCTGATTCTGGCCCCCAGCCCAGCCCCCAAGCCCATCATCCCCTGTACCCACCCCAGGGACGCCCAAGAGCACTTGTTCACCCTGAGACTTAACCTCTGTCCTCAACACCGAGCTATGGCCACATCAGTTGCCCTTCCTTCCCTGAGGTTTCTGCCATGCTGTTCCCTCTCCCTCAGTGCCATGCTGTTCCCTCTCCTCAGTGCCCACCCTCTGTGGGCAAATTCCTACTGGTTTCTTGAGACTTGAGGGCACCTCCTCCAGGAGGCTATCCCCAGGCCCCTCTCCCGATGGGCCCGCACCCACTCCCCTCCTGCCCAGGGCTTTCCTCTGAGCTTTGCTCTGGTCTGTGCCTTGCAAAAGGCACAGGACACAGGGTCCTGCCACGTAGGCAACGGGTCCCATCTCTGCTGTGTCCCTGGTGCCCTGTGCTCTTGGCGGTCCCAAGACTGGAATCTGCAGATCCCGGGCTCATACCTGCCCAGACAGGAAGCACGTTAGGGACAGACTCTGCACCGCACCCTGCAGAGGGGGAAACTCAGACCTCGGGGTCACCAGCTGGGATGCGCTCTGACCTCCCGACCCAGGACAGCAACCCATCAGGCCTGTCTGGCTCAGCAGACAAGGGCGGGGGGTGGGGACCCGCCTGTGGCCCTGCCAGATGCCCCCTTCACTCCCACAGCAGGTGTCCTCTGGTATCAGCTGCTGTCACAGGCTGGGTCCCAGGGAAGGACTGCACCTGCCAGGTAGGCAGCAAATGCACAGGTAGGAAGCGCCGATGAGCCCAGATGCCCTTGGCCCCACGCTTTATTAGAAGGTCATTCCTCTTTCTCTCCCTCCTAATCACCTGCTGTGCCCAGCCCTGGGGCTCAGGGGACACTGCTGAGATGCCAGCAAGAGGAGGACTTTCCTCTTCCCCCAGGGCGAGCAGCTGTGGCACCCCTCCCTCATCCGGCCTCACCCTGAGACCTCCGCCCTGCACCCGGCTGCCCTATTTGGTGGTCACTCCCAGAGCCTGCAGAGGAGAGGGGTCAGCTGTTGGCGACAGACCCACCCAGGGAGCTCATAAAACTGACAGCAGGCCTGCGTGCGGGCCCACTCAGGAGCTTGGGGCCAGGGCCCAGCTGTGGTTTCCAACACCCACGCCGGAAGGCGAGTCTGAGATCCCCGTGGGGCCAAGGCCTCCCCTCCCTGGGCCCAGAGCAGCTGCCGTGGAGATCAGACTGGGGTCAGGAATGTAGCGGGGCAGCCCCAGGCACTAGGTGGTCAGGGGCTGGTGACTGGCCTCACTGTAAAAACACGGGATCAGAAGCCTTTCTCTCTCCACGCACTTTACTTGGGCCTAAGCGGTGAAGGCACACCCCCAGCCCGGTATTGTGGGTGGGGACTTGGGCCAGCCCACTAGGGTTCAAATTCTACCTCGGTCCCTAACATGCTCCCCCCACAATCTCCATGCAGGTTTTTCCAACAATAACATGGGGGTAATGAGGAACCCCAACTCCTGGTGAGCATGGGATTCTTGGTAAAACAGGACAGTGTGGGGCCCAGGAAACTCCAAAAGGTATTTCTTGATTCTAATCATCCTCCTGGCCTGAAGCCCCAGTGGCTAGGTCTGGGACAGAACACTCCAAGCAGGGAAGCGGAAGGAAAGAGGGCATGAGGAATGGTTCCCAGGGAAGGGCCCTGCTGAAGCCCCCTCCCTCCCAGCTTGTGATCCACAGAGGGAAAGGTGGAGTGACATCACTAAAGTCCCTGGCAACCCACACAGCTGGGTGGAAGAGGGAGCCCCCTCCCCACGTGCAGGGAGGAAGGTCTCTCTCATCTCAGAGCACCAGGTCCCAGCATGCCGCAAACCACACCAGGACAGGATGGCCCACTCCTTACATTCCAGAAGGTTCTCTTAACAGAGAGCCCCTGCCCTGGACTGTGTCTATGCAGGTTGCTTCACCTCTGGGCCCCTCATTTTCTTCATCTGCACGTGGGGACGTCAGTCACCACTCTTGTCCCCAGGGCTCTTTGCTCTGGGGACAGCTGTGGGACTGTGGAGCTCTGGACCCTAGGCGCCCCTGCTGGCCAAGCGGGATATGCAATAATCGTGTCCACAGGGACTGGCTCGAAAAGTGAGCATGTAACCCGAACCAAGCCAATAGGACCCCCCAGGAGAACTTCTGGTAGGCACGGGGCGGGCTGTGGGCGGTGAGGTCAGTGCCAGGGAACTACGCGGGAGCATCTTCCGAGCAGTGAGGGGAGCTGCAGGACCGGACGGGGCTAGTGTGTGAGAAGCAGGGAGGCACAGAGATGACAACAGAGAAAGCAATGGCCCCAGGGTACACCTAAGCCCTGGGGTGGCCTTGCCTGCCCCTGCCCAGAACGAGTTTAGGCTTGTCTGACTTCTGCAACTGGAAGACGCCTGGTTGACCCAAATCCCTTTGTCCTAGGCAGAACAGATTAAGGAGAGATTCCTGGAGGAGGTGTTCAGGATGATGTGGAAAGAGGTGGCCCACACCTATGCCTTCCGGAACATTAATAGCCACTGACTAGACACCCCTGAGGCCCCGAGGGAGCAGCTCAGGATGGGCTGGGCCCCAGTCACACCCCCAGGGGCACCCTATCCAACAGGGAAGGCAAATGGAGTCAAGGAGAAAACATGATAAATGCCAAGACACAGATGGAAAACTCAGGAGGCGGGGGGAGGCGGGGCAAGATGGAGAGGGCCCTGAGGGCTTCCTGGAGGAGGCAACCTTCAGTTGAGTCAGTAATCTGAGGTGACAGCCGGAGTGAGCTAGGTGCAGTGACGCCAGGATTTCAGGGTACGGGAGCAGAGCTGGTTGTGGAGGAACCACTGAGGGGAGTGACAGGACCCCCAGGGGTAAAGTGCATGGTAGGAAGTGGCATGAGAGGAAAGAGAGCCTAGCTCCAGGCTCGACACCAACCAGGACAAGCTTGGCCGCTCCGGCTGCTTGGGAGCCAGGCATCGCCTGTGCTTGAGTGCCCCCTGGTGGTCACGTGGAGGAAGGGCATGCAGCGGTCAGAGCCAGTGGAGAACCCCCAGAAAACACACACACAGCAGTGTTGGAATCCCCTCTGGCCAGCAGTATGTCCCTCTCCTGAGATTCTAATGGACCCTGCACCCCAAGACTTGCACTGCCGGTGCTCACTGGGGAGCCCCCAATATGTCAGGGTCTGTAGCTCAGGTCCTGTCCTCACTGGAGGTGTCCAGGCTTGGCCTGAGTACAGGCCTGGAAAGGGTGCGTGCAGGGTGTTCCCTCTGACCCTCTGGGTCAGCCTGCTCTCAAGCCAGGGCCTCTACCCAGGTTTTCTAAGTGTTATTGACAGACCCCCGTGTGACCCGCAGAGACCCCCTGGGCCGGGTGAGCCCCGGGATGTCAGCACAACTCCAGGGGATCCCTATGCCCAGACACGGTGGCCCAGCCCACGTGGGGCCAGCCTGCATGCAGGTGGCTTCCTCTCGGCTTATCCCTGTGGTTTCTGGGCCCTCCTCCCCACCCCCACCCTATGGCCTCAGCATAGGACTTCCTGTCTGCACCTGCCTTGGGCCAGGCCAACAATGTGGAGTCAGGAGCTCATCTTAGGCCATTTCCCGCATGTGTGGGGCTGTGAGATGTGCTCTCCACCCCAGAAAGGAACATCCCTCACCCCAGCGCCCCCGGGAAAGTGGCCATGAGGCTAGGGACCCGGGGCTGACTGGAGGTGGGTATAGTCAGGGACCTGTGGCACCCTATCCTGCCCCAGCATGGAGGGGCTGAGCCCAGGAGCCCCTCAACACCTTCGTTCACCAAGGCTCATGAACGGCACATTCGCACCACGCTGGGTCAGCAGCCAAGGCCCTCCCCAGCCGCGGGGCCTCTGTCCCAGGCCCGGGGTACCTGTCACTCCCGTTCCAGGCACATTCAAACTTGTCAAAGATGCAGTCGTTTTCATACAAGGAACAGAGCTTGCTCCGAAGGTAATCATGGACCTAGTGAGAGAAGGTGCAGGGTGAGCTGGGGCGGGGTGGGGGGGATCCTGGCCCTGCAGCCAGAAGGGTCTCCCTGAGGGTCCGGATGGCCCTCCCGACTCAGCCCCACTCACCTAGAAGGCCCCACAACCTGTCACGGCCGATCCCTGAGCTATGGCCAGAGAGGGGACAGTCACCGTGACAAAGGGAACCATACTGTAGGGACCAAATCCCGGCTCCACCCCTGCCCCTGCTGTGTGATCCTGGGCAAGTGACTACACCTCTCTGAGCTTCAGTTTCTTCCTCCCTTGAGTGATAAAAGCACAAAGCTCATGGGCTGTTGTGGGATCAACCCGAGGAGACTGCCTAGTATAGGGGTCCTGTCCTCTGAGGACAGTCACCATGAGTACAAATCATGGAAGAAAGGGGAGGAGGATGCCCAAGGGCCTCTTGAACACAAGCTCAGCAGGCATCACCTGTCCTGTTTTGGGGATGAGGCACTGCCTCTCAGAGAGGGTGAGTAACTGGCCCAAAGTCACACAGCCTATAACTGGAAGACCAGGACCCTCTACCAGAGTCACCTGCCACCACGGGAGAGATGGTGATGTCCCTGTGGCCCGTGTCCACCTCCCAGCAGCCTGATCCCACAAGTTCTACACCTAGAGGGCCTCGTGGGGGCTTGCTCCCTGCTGGGGATGGGGTCCTGCCCCCTGAGTGGGGCGAGGGAGTGTACAGCGGTGACCCAAATCCCGAATGCCTGTGTGACCCAGTCACTGAACCTCTGTGAGCCTAAGGCTTCCCACCTACAGAGGGAGCGGTGAGACCCTCCAAGCAGACAAATGGGGGCAAAGCACCCTGATCAACTCTGGAGGGATAGACAGAAATACGTGCTCAACTCCTGTTGGGCAGTGACTCAGGCCACAAGCCAGGGGTCAAGTGCGGGGGTGGGGGGGAGAAGAGGGGAGGAGGGGAAGGGAAGGGAGGGGAGAGGAAGCTAAAAGGAGGTGTTCACCCTTTTCTGTCTAGGAAGTTCTTACTCATCTTTAAAAGGAAGTGTGCCCCACCGTCCGCCTCCCTGGGTCCCCAGTCTGAGCCGTCTTGTCCCCTCTGGAGTGTTAGGGCTATCTGCGGCTCCTGTCCCAACTTTCTGTGTTCGTGCGGACCCCCTCCCCCTCCGAAGGTTCACCCTAGTCTCACACAGTGACTTCCCAGCCCGCCCAGGAAGGGGGCTCCACAGCCCTTCCTTCCCCACCCCTGCCTGGACTCCTGTGTGCTCCTCTCCATCCTCTGATGAAAAAGCACACAGCAGACCATCCAGCTGCCAAGGGGATGGCAAGAGGCCCACCGAGGCTGCCCACCACTGAGCCCCCGGTCCCCCCAGTGTTCCCCATCCTTCCCCGTACAAAGGCCACCACCAACAGCATCCCTCCTCACACCTCTTGTTGGTCCCACCCCTCATGCCACTGGTCCAGAATCCAGAGAGATCCAGAGCCCAGCCTCTTCTCACCAGGTCCAGTGCTGCTACCTGCTCCAAGGCCACCTCCCAGATCACGGCAAACACCTCCTGACCGCTCTCCCTGTGTTCTCCTGTGCCCGCCAGCCCCAGTATCTCTCCATGGGCAGCCAGGGAGACCCCTAAGAAACCAAGCTGGATCCTCCAGGGCTCACAACCCCCTGAGCTCTGCCCCTAGTGACTTCTCTGACCTCAGACTCTTCTTCTCTTCCCCTGCTCAAACTGCTGCTCCAACTGGCTCCCCACCATTCCTGGGCCACACCAACCATGAGCCTGCCTCAGGGCCTTTGCACTTACTGTCCCCTCCTCTGGGAGCACCTTTCCCACAGATGGCTGATGCCCTCACCTCCCTCAGACTCTAGCACCCCTACTTTTTTTGCCTCAAACTCTGGTTTGCTTTATTTGTCACACTTTTTGCAGACTGTGATTATTGTGTCTATCTGCCTGGTTTCTGGCCATCTTTCCTGTAGGAATGGATGCCCCTCGAGGCAGGATCTGTCTTGTTCCTCACAGTTTGCCAGTGGGGTGCACAGGGCCTGGTACATCACAGGAGCTTGATACACTTTTCAGAATGAATGAGTGGGTTAGAGACTCAACTTGTGGCCCTCCAGATGCTGCAAGGCTCTGGGTCTGGAAGAGGGTGTAGTGGGGGAGAGGATGGCCTTGCATCCCTACCCAGAGGCTCAAAGGAGAAGGCTGAGCCTTGCACTGGGCTGAGGAGGAGGCTGAGAGGCAGAAAGAGGAGGGCCCAGAGGGCTGTGCTGCGGGACCCAAGAGTGGAGGCCAGGGTGGGGTGGAAGGACTTGTGCATCTTCAAGACCTGGAAGGAGGGAAGCAGAGGGCAGGGCTCTGTGACACCAGGGAATGACCCAAATGTGGGCTGGAGCCATTGGGTTAGGCAGCCCCCCAACCCCAGGTGAACATGGGGGATGGGGACCCTGCATGGCCAGGGGAAAGACGGCATAGAGCCCAGCAGAAGGAATCATGCCAGGCTGCCCCTGATGGGACACTGGCCTGCTTGTGAGTCCCTGAGAAAAAGGGGAAACTGATGCAGGAGGGTCCTGCTATTTCTTTCACACAGGGGCTGGCCTCAGGGAGCCTCCCCCTCCTAGTGAGTCCCTGGCCTGTGGCCACACCACACCAAGGCTCACTGTGTGCCTGTTGTCCAAGACCCTGGAGGGTGAAGCTGCGGCTCCTACTTCTCCCTGAGCCCAGGGTCTAGCCCGGCACAGAACACACCTGCTGATTATGTGTGATAGCTCAGACGAATGGGGATAAATGGTGCCTAGCTTCCTGCAGGCCACAGACAGACTCTCAGGGGCCCGTGTTCAACCCCTCCAAGTCTGCTCTGCTCTGTGCACTCTGCTCCCTGGGAAGTCCCAGCAGCCTCACTGATGCACTGGTCCGAGCACTGACATGCACTGTTCTCCCTCTCCCCGTCCTGCAAGGTCAGCACGCCCAGCCCTCTGGTGGCGCAGCAAGGAAGAGCATGGGCTCTGGGGAAAGCCCTATCAGGTGTGGGGTTTGCCAGCTCTCCTCCTGCAGATATACCATTTAATTCCACTTTCTCCAAATAAAATGGGATCAACAGAACACTGGCCCCACTTTCCTGGACAGCCATGAGGCTTTAGGAGAGGAAAAGTGTGCCAAGGACTCAGCTCAAGGCAGCGCATGCTGAGGGCTGGCTCATGCAACACCCATCCCTATCCCCTCTCCCCTACCTTCCTCAAATATAGACGCCGTGAAACCATCCATTCCCCAGCCTGGTCACAGACCCATTCCAGCCAACGACCTTACAAGAAGTCTTCTGAGGAGTGTTCTGGGAAAGCGTCTGTGCTCCCAAGAAAATATCCAACAGACCCAACCAGTACAGACTTTCACATCCTTCCTATTTCCTTCCTGGAATGAAGGCATAGTTCCTGAGATGTGGCAGCCATTTTGCCACCATGAGGCATTGCACATGAAGGCAGGGAACGGATATACAAATGAGGGTGAGCCAGATCACAGAAGGAGCTGTTGGGATCCCAAGGAGGTCCTGGAGCCACTCGCTGTTCCTGGATGCCCCCTTCAAGACTTCTTCTGAAGGGAGAGAAGTCCCTATGTGTTCAACACTGAGAGTCAGCCAACCACAACTGAGCTGAGCACGACTCTAGAGTGTAACAGCCAAAAATGTTAGTCACTGTGTTGGTTTTATGTAACTATTGTCATTTTAGAATCAGTAGGCCAGCTGGCTGGAAGCAAAGCACCCAGCTCTCAGCCTTGTCTCCAGGATAGTCTCCTCCCACTTTAGTGGGCCCTCACATGTTCTGAGGTTCTCTGGAAGTTACGGGTGCTCTCCCTGCAAGACGCCTGTATTAAACATAGCACCTAGTTTCAGGGTCTGTGGGCCTTTATTGACTCCGGGCTTCGGAAGGCTGAGGACCTCCGTGGATCTCGAGACAGTCATTTCCCAGCCTGGATCTAGGAGGGGCTGATCACTCCTGCACCTGAGCTGGGACTGGGTCATGTCTGCCCCAATCTCCAGACTCTGCCATCTCCTGAGGGTCAGAGGAGATGCTGATCCCTCCCTGGGGTGGACAGTGTGAAGAGAGGCCTAGGAGACAACTGGAGGACTGGGCAGGACCTCTGGTAAACACATGGCTCGCAATGGGGCTGCCACCAGGAGCCGTGACAGACCTTCCATGAGCCCTTCCCAGGAGGGGGTAGAAGCTCAGGGAAGGGTCTGAAGGGATCATATACACCTGTAGGCGTATGACCTCCAGACTGAGCTCCCGGTCTCTCCCCGAAGCTCTGTTCCCTTCCCTGTGAGCCCCCCCTCAGCCTCCCAGGACACCCCTTACCCCAGGCCCCAGCAGGGAGGGAGGACAGGAAAGGGGCTGGAGGGCTCTGCATCCATCACCGTCCAGCTGTAAGGCAGGTCCCAATAGTCCTGGCCTCTTGGCACCCACGTCCCCTTCCTGCCCAGTAGAGCTGATGGCACTCCCTTTGCGGGGACAATAAGGAACAGAGGTAACAAACAGAAGTGCGTGACCCCTGTGGACACCTAGTACTTGGTGACACAGTGAGGGTTTGCCTGGGCTTCTGGTGGAGTCTTGCTCTAACATCCCATGAATTTTGTTTTCTACCCCTAAGAGATCTGGGTAGCTCATAACACAAAGCTGATGGATAACGCCTTTCTGGGGGGGGGGTCCCCTGCTTCAGCTGAAGTGCCTGATTTCCACGGCTTGTGGCTAAGGATCTAGAAACAGAATATGCCCCCTATCCCAGCCCCACGCTCTGGAGGGCTGCTCTCCAGGGGGGTAGGGGGAGGGCAGGGCTTCTCCCGCCTTAACCTGGGCTATAGACCCCGGCTCCAAGGAAGGACCACATCTGCACCTTTAGTCACCTGAACCCTCGAACTGGGCCAAGGCTGAAGCTCACCCTTGTTCCCCCGGGCTCCGGATCACAGAGGCCAGCAAGTGGACAGCACCCACTGACCCCACGAGGCAGGACTGAGCACACACTTGTGCTCTTGGCCGAGCTGGGGGCTGGGGACGGACTGCCTGGTTTCCTAAGCCTTACTGTCTTCGCCTCCAATATGGGGATATGAACGCCACCTCTGCAGCCAAGGATGTCCCCTCCAGGGGGGATTCCGGGCACAGGGGATGGAGGCTGGGAGGGGCTCCCGTCTGTCTGGGCTGCAGCTCCTACCTGGTAGGTCTCTATGGGCCTCGCCTCCATGTTCAGGTCCCAGACTTTGACCGTGAGATAATCCCGGGTGAGCATGTACCGGCCACTGTGGCTGAACTTCACGTCCGACACAGAGGAGATGATCTCGGAGAAGAAGGAGCGGTTACTGGGGTCCTCGGGCTCTTCGAATACTGTGGAGACAGAGAACAGATGGCCATCACCAGGTTGCTCGGCCCCATGGGCCAGAATAACCGATGACTCTGTTTTCATCCTGGGATCTCGCTGAGTGGTCCTTCCTTCATTCATTCATCAAACCTGTAACTGACCACCTGTCAGGCTGGGGGCCTGAGCAACCTTCCCAGAAGGGAAGGAGCAGCTTCTGGAACAACGGTTATTGAACATCTGGTCTCAGCCAGATTCTGTGAAGAGACCTACTGTACATTACCTCATCTAACTGCCTAATAAAAACGTCTCCTCGGTCCCACCATCACTCCCATTTCATAGCCAGGAACACTGAGGCATCAAGGGCTAAAAGCCACGCCCCAGGCGCTGAGCTAGAAGAAAGCTTTGGAGTGGGGATTTGAACCCAGAGCGGCACTGACTGTGGTGTACTCTGCTGCCACCTACTGGTGATGCTGAGCGCCAGGACCAAGAGGTGTCCTAACATTTTCTCACACAAGGGGCAGTGTCCTAGACAAAGCTGGGCACTGCTTGTGGCCCGGGACCTCTGCCCATGCGGCACTGGGTGGTCGCAGCTGAGCCCTGGTGGCAGGCACGTTTGGTTCAGCTGCCGCGGGGATTGTGGCAAAATCACATCTTGCTGCCCAGAAGGAGCTGGCGTCCCAGGTGCCCTCTGCCCCCCACCTCTTATGGTCTCAGACCACATGCTCCACACAGGAAGCTGCTTACATGGCTCCTGAAGGTGACAGCTTGCTGCCCCTACTGGACTGGGGGACAGAATGCCCAGTGAGTGGCTCCCCAGGCAGCGCCCCCCGCGTTGCTGTCCCTGAGAACCGAGCATTCCTGACACACAGAGGTTTCCACACAGCAGGACTAGCTCTTCGGGACCCAGTCTGTTGCTGGCTGTCTCACCAGTTTGCCCACCAATGTCCTCACTGGCTAATCGGATCCCACAGTGGCCCTGGGGCAGGGTGGGGACCAAACTTGACCAAGCATCATCACCTTAGCTAACCAAGCTAACCAAGCATTAGCTCTTTAGGAGCTGGGCTGGGCCCGGGGAGCTGGGAAGAGGATGTAGTGGTGAGCTGACAGCTATCTTCCAGCCCGTCTGGAAGGAATTAAACATCTGACAACCTTTCCAGCTGTCCCCATGGAAACTGGCTGAGTGGCTGCTCCTTCTGCTGGCCCCCAAGCCCCCAGATCTGAAATAGGGAAGCCGAGAGCCAATCACATGTCCCGAGAGGCTCACAAGCATGCCCTGCCTGCCAGCCCCCCCCGATCCCAAAGTCCCCCATCCTACTTCCTAGCGTCATCCCAGCCCCATATCCCGCCATCCAGGACCCCGATCTCCCTCCTGTCCCAGGCAGATGCGGTTCCTGCCACGAGGGGTCAGAAGAAAAGATGAGTTATAAAGATATAAAACGTGGTCTGCCTTTTTCACCCCAACTTTGCACCCCAGGCCTACCCTGGAGGTTTCCTCTGGCCAGCCTCCACCCAAACCCCCAGGGGTGGTCCATCTCACTTCACCCGTGCACCGGGCAGAGCAGCTGGCAGGCCATGCAGGGTAGGTCGGCAGGGGGCTGGGGGGGGTACCAAAATCGCAGAGGAGTGTCTGCACTGGATGTCACAGAGCCATGGACCGTGTCCCCTGCCAGCTTCAAGGAGCAAGACACCACAAAGGTCAAAGCCTGAGAGGATGCTCTAATCGATAGTGGAAGACAGAAACACCAAATGGCCCTCTGTCACCTCAGCTCTGGCTGCACGTGGGCATTTCTGATGACTCTTTAAGCCCAAGAGGACCAGAGCGGCACGCAATGACTGGGAAGGGACACTGACAGGCGTGGGAAGATTATACATAGGAGTTCTTTTTATTTTTCACACATTCCTGTGAAATGTTTGAAACCACTATTTTTTTTTTTGGCAAAAGGCTGCCGAAGGTCATCTTCTGTGTCGATCCCTGTCCACCTCCCCGACCCTCGCCTCGCCACCACGGGTAAGCCGCATGTCCCCCCAGGGCATTAATCACAGGTAAGGGAGTCCCCCCTCTAACTGACGGAATCACTCAGGACATTCACAGTAATTACTGCTACCAAGGGTTTACAGAAATGCTCCCCAGAGCCCCTGTCACTGTGATGGGCTCAATCCCACCTCTCCCCCACTGCCCTAATTATGTTCAGGTTGGAGGACTCTGAATCCCCAGAAATGTCTTACTTCTTTTTAATGATTTTGCATAATTAAGACTCCTGTGGCCCCGGCTGATTCCCTGACAAACACATCCTCCTGTCTTGGTGCCCCATGGCGTCGCCTCTGGCACATGGTGGGGAGGGGGGAGAAGCCCCCCCACTCCCCAAAAGGAGGCGAAGGTGTCCTGGGGAGCCCAGCTCTGCACCCAAGGAATGCGAAGGTGAAGTCAGAAGCGGCGTGATGACCCTCCTCTCCAGCCTCACACGCAGCTGATGATGTTGCTCTTGGTTAAAGCCCTCCATGGCTCCCACTGCCCACAGGACCAAGACTCAGACTCCTACACAGAGCTGATAAGCTCCTTCCTAATGCGGCCCTTACCAACCCGCTTCTCCAGTCACCCTCCAACCTCCTTTCTGCCAGGGCCCCAGCGCCTCAAAAAGAGAGAGGCAAGCAAGGCCCATAGGGTTGCACACTGAACAACTCACCATCAGGGTCACCTTAAATGAATGCCTTTCAGTGCCCTGCCCTCCCAAACCAGGCAGCGCAACAGAGCAGAGTTCTACATGCCCATAGGCAAGTCCCTGGGCCCAGTTTCCCTGGCCTGGAGAACAAAGCATGATGGGACCTCTGGAAGAAATAACTGGGAGTTATTCATCATAAAACTGCTCAGTTTGGGGGCGCCTGGGTGGCTCAATGGGTTAAAGCCTCTGCCTTCAGCTCGGGTCATGATCCCAGGGTCCTGGGATCAAGCCCCACGTCGGGCTCTCTGCTTAGCAAGGAGCCTGCTCCTCCTCTCTCTCTGTCTGCCTCTCTGCCTACTTGTGGTCGCTGTCAAATAAATGAATAAAATCTTAAAAAAAAAAAAAAACCAAACCTGCTCAGTTTTACTGAGCAGTATCTGCTCAGTAAAATTGTGTGGCTATTTTTATAACATTTTCTCATTGTTTTCTTTCCCCGAAATCTCCGTTCCCAGTTTTAGTTCTTGTCCTCCCTACCAACTCCTATACATCCTTCCGAACCCCAACTCTAATGCCCTATTCTATGTGTATCTTGTCCAGATGTTCTCCAAAGAAACAAAAGGGTCACCCTTGCTGCCCTCACAGCCTGGGGTGCCCTCCTGTGTGGCATCCGCAGGGATATGTTGTCACTTCATGGGACTGTGAGCTCTTGGGGCAGGGCTCCGTTCTCTGTCATTGGTCATCTGAGCATCCCTGCCCAGCCCGGAGACTTACTCAGAGCCCAGCCCTACTCACAGAGTGGATAGAAGTTTCGGTACTGCCTGCCCATCCCACCTCTTCTCTGTGCCTTTCCTGATACATATCTTCCTCAACCTGATCCAATCCCACTGAAGCTTCTAGGCCCAGCAGGGAAGCCTGTATCTGTTAGAAGTGCCCCCAGCTCTTGCTCTGGATCCCTTTGGGTAGCACCTGCTCTATCCCACTCCTGTTGGGGTCTCTGGCTGCAGGTTGGGGAGGTGAGGGTGAAAAGGTGCAGGCAGAATTGATCCGATGGGGACAGGGTGAAGGAGGGATCAGAGTTAGAGGGTAGAACTGCCCTGGCTTGAGCCACACAAGCAGGGACAACTATGCAGGCCAGTAAGGCCTTGGAGAGAAATGGACAGACATACAGGAGAGGGGCTCTGCAGCGGAGTATAGGAAGGTGTGGGCCTGAAGGAGCCAAGAGGGTCCTGTCCCGTCGTTGCGCGCAGCGGCCCCAGCATCGGGTCCCCCCTCTGCTCTGATATTAGACAAGAACAGCCGCGGAATGATGAGCACATGTCCAGGCTAGCCCCACCTCGGGCTCCAGGAGGAGTCCAGGCTAGCCTTGCTGGGCCGAGCTCCAGGAGGAGCTGGGAGGGGTCTGTGCAGCAGCAGAGGGAGAAGAGTTGGATTCTGGATCACAGGGCACCCTGGAGGACCGGAGGACTGGTGCCTCTTCGAGGCCACTGTTGGGGTCAGGACCTCCTGCATGACTGCCTCCCTGCCCCTGCCCCCCAGCAACACCCCCTCCCACCACCGGGAAGGTAGAAGGCATGCCCACTGGAGATGAGCAGGGCGTCACTACAAGGCGGTGGGCACAATGAGTGCTCGCTGGTGAAGAGTTGACAACTGTCATTCTCTGCTAATGACTGTCCCCTGCTTGGCAGGGCGGGAGTAGGGAGTAGTTTGATGAACACCACTGGACAAAATAAAATCCAAGCCTCACTGAGGCCCTGGCCCTGCATGATCTACCCCCACCTCTCTGTCTTGGCACCCATCAGCCCCGCCTTCTCCCCACTGCAGCCAGACTCCTCTCACCCGCTGGGGCTCTCAGCCCTGCCTTCTGCCCCCTCTCTTCCCAGGCTCTCTTTCATTCTTTGAGGTGCAGAGAAGCCTCCTGGGACCACCTTAATGGAGAGCCAGCTGCAGCGGGGGGACACCCTCAGAAACTTTCCCCGCTTCGATGCTCCCATTTACTTGGCAGTCAGTTTGCCTATCTCTCCACTCAGCTCAGTAAGGGCCAAGCCAGCAGGCTGGAGCTTGCCTGGGGAGGCAGGACCTGACAGCCTTCCCTCCTCCACTATGCCCACTCTGCTCTGAGCATCAGCTGCCCCCCACCCTACTCCTACCTCACCCAGTTTATTCCCCGCTCAGCAGCCAGAGGGATCCTGTCCAACACAGCCAGGCTGGGTCACTCCCGGCTCAAACGCCCTTTTGGAGCTCCTGGCCTTTTGGAGGAAACCAGAACTCCTGCGTCTTTGTAAAGTGCTCTGATCACGGTCCCACACACTTCTCTGCCCTCACCCCGCACCTCTGCCTGCTTTGCTCTTGCCTTTGCACGGGTTCCC